ATGTTTTAATCTTTTTTCAACATTTTCTCCAAAAAACAAACTGTGTATGTATAATTAATCGCCATGTTACGATGATTTTTAAAATTTGCTCCTCTGAGCATGAGAAGGGCCCAACGAAAGACTACGGCTTATTTCTTAAAGCACTGAGTGCCTTGCGAAAGTGCCTCAATGCCTCGCACAAGAAACTTGGAACGAATTTGGAAAGCCACCAAGAATCTGCTAAAGAGTAGAAGAGCACTGAGACTGGATCCGGCTGCACCACATCTCGAGCGACTGGTAGTCAATACCAGTTGCAAAACAGCTTTACAAGAAGATATTCGAAAGCACGGCAATCGAAACTTTTGGAAGCAGCACAAGGAAGGAGAAGTCTAAAGATGTACCGCATGGACCTTCTCGACTATCGTGTTCCGTTGACAACATTACTAGACAAAGACGGGTCTTGCATATCTTCCCGACAAAAGATGGAATCGATCACGAAGAGATTCTATACCACTCTCTTTGGCTCGTTAATACCCGTGTCAAACCCCGTTATTCCCATTAAGGAAATACCATCACGGATTCTACCTGCTGAAGTACGCGCCGCAGTCCAGACCATGAAGGCAGCCACGGCTCCAAACCATGTTTCGGTCAACCTCCTACGAGCTGGAGGACATCGCCTGCACAGAATACTGGCGAAACATCTAACGTTCTACCTTCAAACGGGAAGGATCCCCGACCAGTGGAGAACCTCCCGAACAATCCTTCTTCATTAGATGAGCGATAGGAAAGATCTTCGCAACTGTCCGATATGTCTGCTGAGCGTGCTTCACAAGTTCTTCACGAAGATTATTCCTGCTCGCATATCAAGGACACTGGATAAAGCCTCTCCTTTATAACTAGCTGGATTTCGCAAGGGATTCAGCTGCATAGATCACATCCAAACGAGAATTATCGAGGTTTGCTGAGAATACTGCTTACCTCTTGTCCTAACCTTCGTTGAATATAAGAAAGCTTTTGACAGGGTTGAGAGTAATGCCATTCTGTCAGCGCTTGTCAACCAAGGGGTAGACCCATCTTGCGTAAGAACAATGGCCGACTGCTACAAGAACTGCTCTACAACGGTACAGATTTTCCATCGTCCCCTTAACATGCCAATAAAGGGTTTGACAAGGCGACACTGTGTCGTCAAAGCTGTTTACCGCCGCGTTGCACTGGGTGATGTAATTGTTGGATTGGAGCGAAAGAGGTATACGAGTTGATGGGAGATTCCTGTCGAACCCTCGTTTTGCGAACGACAGTGCTCTCTTCTCGAGGAATTTCACTGAAATGAAGACAATGTTGAAGGGACTAAACGAAGTAGCGAAGCGGATAGGACTGAGAGTCACCCGGAACAAGACTCAGTTCATGGAAGAGCGCTTTTTGCAAGGATCAGGAAATGGAATTAGAGGGATCGCTAATCGCGGAGACGTCTTCGTACGTATATCTTGGGTGTTCGATGAAAATGGAGAACGATTCGAAAGAAGAACTAAACAGGAGGCAAAGAGCAGCTTGGGCCACTTTGGACCCCAAAGAAAGCCACAGACCAGCTGATGGACCCAGAGCTCCGACCCATCTGTTCGAATCAACCGTTCTACCTGCGCTCT